AAAGGGCCGTTATTCTGTCTACCTCGTCTGGCCTACTTAAGATCACACTGGAATGTTGGGTTTCAAATTCATAAATGATGTTCTTCATACAATTTCAATATTTTTTCTGGGAATGAAGAACAAGATGATTTATAAATATCTAGCGGCCATCTCCCTCTTCCAGCAGCTAAAGTTCACTCACATCTGAATTTTGAGAGGTCGGGGCCCACATGAGTCAAGACTGAATTTTTTTTCTATTGAAATCACCATTTGGCCCTAAATGTTAATATAGCTTGAGGGAAGTTTACATTGAACTTTGGAAACAAGTCAGAGAATCATGCAAAATGAAGTAGGATTTTAGGTGGGGATAGCAAGCTGTATTGGAAGGAAAGGAAGGAAGGAAGGAAGGAAGGAAGGAAGGAAGGAAGGAAGGAAGGGAGGAAAATTAATATATATTGAACACCTACTCTGTTCCACACAGTGGGACAAGCCTATATATTTTTTCATTCAACAAATATCTATTGAACTCCTTTTTTATTAATAGCATGTGTCAGAGTCTAGGTTCTGGGGATATAACCCTAAAGAAGGTAAACAGAATTCTTGTCCATAAATGTAGCAGACAATCTAGGCAAAAAACAAATACACAAACAAATAATGTCATATGGTGACAAATGCCAAAAACGTATTAAAGAGGGCAGGGGGAAAGTGAGCGATGGAAGACAGATGGCATTGCATTACTGTCTCCATGGCTCTGCAGGCTCAGTGTGCCAGACAGAAAGATGTGCAATTCTGGCAATGACACTGTCTAGTGTCACATGGTCTTTCCATGTAAAAAGTCCTATACACACTATTTCTCTTGCCCCTACCACCAGCCCACAGACACATTAGGATGGCCTCAAAAACAAGAGAGCTTTGCCTCACATGTGCTGCCATCTCCAGTGAGCTTATGGGAGCCCACCTCTCTGGTCTTCTCATGTAACCTGAGGTCACTTTTACCTGCAGGGTCAGAGGTATGCAAATAAAGGGGCTCAAGATCTTAAATTACTCTCTGATCATCCATTCTGTTTGCATCTCCAGACTTCCCAAATTGATTAAAACCATGTGAGGAGCCAGTTTGAAGAATTCAACAGTATCAAACAACCCACTCTTTGGAAAGAAGGCAGGAAACGAGTCTTTACAAAAGAGTACAAGGATAGTTGAAGGTCATTCCAAAGGGAGAAGTTAAACCATCTGTCATGGCCTGACTCCTCCCTCAAGGGAAAGAATAATGAGCAGCCACAGTTGCACAGAGGGAAAGACTACTGGGCTTCTCTGCTGCTTCTCTGCCTCTCTACAGCCTTCTTTTCCTGGTGCTCTGCAGCCCAGGTGTAATGGATAGTAATGCCGTTCCTTCTTCTCCACTCCTCTCCTATCCACAACCTTTGCCATGTGAGCTTGCAGTCCCTCCCTCTCCACCAGGAGTAAAGTGTATTTCTGGCCTCATTGATAGTCCACTTTTTCATTGCAAGAGCATTAGCCATAGTGATTTTAGCAGACATATACACAGGCTTGAAGACTTTTCTTCTTGTATTTCTACCATTGCCATGAGAGTATCTCTGAATAGCCTGCTGGTCCAATGTTGATGAGAGGTAGGGGCCAGCAGGAACAAATCCACAAGTTGGAGCCAAGAGGAACCAGACTGAGTCCAGTTGACTCCCAACAAGTCCAGTCACATAAAAGAGAATAAATGTTTGTTGCTTTAAGCCACTGAGTTTTGAGATGGTTTCTTACACAGCATTATTGTTGCAATTAGCTGACTGATACACAGGGGAGCAGAGTTTCCCCTGGCACAAATCTTGGTAGCAATAACAAATATTCAAATAAGATCCTTGAAGCTATCAGAGGGAGTTTTTTTTTTTTGAGAGCAACAGCTGAGCATGGGGCCAAGCCAGGCCTGAAACATCAGCATGAAAACAGCACTGAGGAAGTCTTATTAACTAGAAAATCCAGAGCTGACTCACGTGGTGACTCCAAAGATCAGGAGTCACACTTCCTCTAAAGCCAGCACTCTGTTCTACATTTGACCCCTGCTGGACTGAGTTATTTTGGATCTGTTCTTGTGACTCTAGGGCTTAAAATAGTCACTGCTGAGCCATCTGTCTTGGGATCCATCTCACTTCTGAAACATAGAGCAGCTGTGGCTGAATTGAAAGCAGCTCCTGTTAAGAAAGTGAACAATCTCTCGGCTTTTCTCCATCTCTGAGTGTGCCCTGGAGAGAAAATAAAATAGAGGGCATTTGGCTGCCAAAGAAGGATAAGAGCTTCAGAAGGGAAACCGGGAGATGCTGGGCAGATAGAAAATGAGAACAGGGAGGGCTGCCAGAGGGCCTGGAAAGGAGCCAGGTCACATGAAGTTCAGACAAGGATGCTGCCAGCTGGAGGTGCAGGAGTAAGGAGAACAGTGCAGACCATGGCTCTGGGACAGCAGAGCAGCAAGGTGTGGTGGAAAGGCTGCTGAGTCGGGTCAGAGTTCCGGAGCCGAAGACTCAGCTCCATCATCAAAGCTGTCACAGCCTAAGTTTTTGCACCCTTAAATAGGGTTAATGTTACCTAGCTCAGGTTGTGCCGGTCAATCAGAATAATGCAGATAAGGACTAAATAAACTGTATAGACCCCAGCAAAAATGGAGCCAATCATGCCCAGGCCTAGATGGTCATTTCAATAGGACGGAAACAGGGTCTGTCTTTTGTGCTGTCGCATAGTGCATTTCCAGGACTTAGCTGGAAAATACATGCGCAAACACATGCACACACACACGTGTGCACACACTCCACAATTTAATTACTAATTACTAAAGGCCATTAATATGTACACTAAGAACATTACTCAAATTCTTGGCAAAGTAAGAAATAGCTGTTGTCTTTACCCAGAAGCCTTCTGGAAGTTGCATCCTAATACAGAATTGTTAGCAATAGTTGACCTGCCTGCCTGACAATCACATCAGAGCAATGAGAGCTTCTGCCATTCTGAACAGGAGTCCAGCCCCCGAGGAAAAGTTACTTGCTGGTGTGGAGCTGATAGGAACCTGTGGAGAGGCTTGTAATCATGAAGACGGGGTAGGTCTCTGGGAAAGCGCCTGTCTTCCATCTCCCTCTTCCTAAGGGCCTGTCTTAGCTGTATGCAAGCATTTCCAGTATTGACAGCTGTTGACAGGGGCACTGAAATTGGACACACCCTTAAAACTTGTATGATCTTTGCAAAGTTGATTAATCTTTTTTCTCTATTGTAAAATGAGTATTAATAGCATACTTCAAAAGGTTGTTTAAAACAGGGTGGGTAAACTACAGCCTGTAGGCCAAGACCTGCCAACTGTCTAAATGAAGTCTTATTGGCCCAGAGCCAGGCTCGTTTGCTTACATATTGTCTAGCTGCGACAGAGCTACTGAAACCTAAAAAGAGTTACTGTCTGGCCCTTTATAGAAACAGTGTTCTAACTCCTGGTTTAAGGACTAAATGAGGTCACAAACAGAAAACCTTTAATACAGAATCATGGCTACAGTCATAAAATGTTGTTGGTATAATGGGAATACATAGAAATGGCCGCTTTGGGTTTTTGAAGAGAAAGGCTGTTGACAAAAACAAGTTGAGGGAAGGTACGTGGACCACAGGCTCAACAAGAGTCAACAGAGGCGCCATAGGAGTCCATGGAAACCCAGCCACGTTGACACAGCCTGGTGTCCATGGCAGAGGCCCAGGAAGAGAGGAACGTGGAAAAGCTTGTGAGACTCCAGGAGAGAGAGAGAGAGAGAGAGAGAGAGAGAGAGAGAGACCAAGGCAAAAAGGACACAAAATCATGACACTGAGTCTGGAGATGGCCATTGGTAGGTGTTCTAGTGAGTTTATTTAGAGAGAGCTCTTGGCAGAGAAGCAGTTAACTCATTCTGTAAGGATCCTCTTGGGGACTGAGAGGGAGAAAATGCGCTCTCCCAGCTGGAAAGCTTGTGCATGTGTGAGGTGCTTGAGCGCCCCTGCAAACTGCAGGCTCCACCACAATGCCGCCCGTACCTTTCACCGGCCACTCTCCTTAACACTCACGTGTAATTTTATCTCTTTCAGTCCACAGCAATTTATCTTTTTAATACCCTCTGTTAGTCAAGCTGTGCTTTGCCCACTCAGGTGTTTCCAATGTTGCCTTAAAAATTTCAGTGGCTCATTCAACAAAGCTTTCAACAGGAAAAAGGAAACCAGAAGTAGGAGAGTGTATAAGTAGGCTGGCTGCCAGGCCAAGGGGAGTGGACCGGTGGAAAAGGAACTTTCAAAACTCTTTCTTCAAATAAAAGAAGAGGAAAAATATGACCATGCGAGCATTCTGAAATGTACTGGATATTCCGTTTTCTCAATGCAATTGCACTCAACGCTACCCGTTTTATACTTCCTGGACATCAAGTGATTTGAGGATTGGCTGTCCAACGCAAAGCCACTGCATCCTATCCAAGAATTATGTCTTTACTTAATGACGATGATATCTTAGCAGAGAACTTCCAGAGCCACTGTGTTATTATAAAAATAGACTTAAAAGAACAACTATCATCCATCGACGGCCTGCTGTGTGCCAAGTATCGTGCAAAAGGTTTTCACCCACGTCGCTTCATTTAATCCTCTGAAGAAGCCTTCAAGGTTGTAGAGACTGTGCAGAGAATCAGCATGATCAGGCGATATGTCATAGGGCTGGTGGCAGAGTCAAAATGTGAACCAAGTCTATCGGATTCTAATCTCACTATCCTTTCAAGTTCACAGAGCCACTTTGTGAAAGACACTGTCCAGAGTTGCCCAGAACACGGCAGGGGCAGGTGGAAACACATGCCTCATGGAATGGAGTGGAGGTCTCTAGGAAGCAGGGAATTCTGGAGCATGTGCTACACCCACCCTGCAGTTCAAACAGCAGCCCCCAGAAATGATTCGAACCACACCCTGCTTATCAGTAAATCCAGACATTGTCACTACATTTTCAATCAATGCCATTGACCTGTTTTCCAACTTACGTCAAATCTTCTCCCAGATGAGACTGTGGGTTGACATTGTTCCATGCGCTGGCTCTGGGTGAGGGGTAGAGGACACCCTTGAAAGAAGAACAAACCGGAAGCACATTTTCATTTTCCTCTATTTAACAGAGACTCTTGAAGACAATCTGCCCTTTAATGATGCTTTCCACTCAATAAGATTTAATAGTTTATGTATTTTTAACCTGCTTTCCCAGCCAAATTTACAGCACAAAGTAAACAACCCGATGATGCTGTATAGTCACATTAAAAATTTGTGTGCACAGTGAACCAAAGTAAAACTCCAGCTGAACATGACCTTTGCCCGGTTCGGCTTGTGTGCTTTCTGCCTGAGTCCTGGAGCCTCCTGGGAACGTCTGATACAGGTGTAATTGGGTCCCTCCGGGGAGCCCGAGTGGGAATAGTCCAGGTATTCACCACAGGAAGAGGAGCATCTCCACAGGAGTCCTGAATGTCACCTCCTTCTTAGGATGCTCTCGTTCCAACTGTGGCTGAAACCATGACCCTATCCCTTGAGGCCATCCCCATTCATCCTCCGCCTTGTTTTCCAGGCTTGAGTCCAAGTGTGAACTCCAGTCTCTTTCTTCAGTTTCTCCTCTTCATGTATCATAGAGAACAACATGGACTTTGTAAAAGGCAATTCAGAAAGCACAGTCATAACATATAGGTCTCTGCTGTCTTCTCCCTCCCGGTTCCTCTCATACAGTAAGTCCTCACTTAACATTGTCAATAGGTTCTGCAACTTAAAGCTAAACAAAACCAATTTATCAAAATCTAATTGTCATAAACAGGAGTGAAGTCCTTACGGCATCTCATCAATAGTCTAAGGTAATGAACAAAACGGCATTATTCAAGGGCCTGCTATAACATGTTGGCAGACCCATCGATTGTGATCATATGACAACTTCATTCCGTCTTTCACTGTCCCCTTTAAACTTGATTTCATGAGGTTAACTTCACTCTCTGTGAGGTTCTCCTCACTGTGAAGTCCTTGCTTCCTCTTCTCACTCTTAGACAACAGAACACCTAGAACTTACCTAAAATCACAGGCACAGGTCAACCCGGAAAGGAGAATGCTCACACCACTATTCAAAGAGAGGCTCTGGACTTGGCTGGAAGCCTGCGGCAAGAAAGGAGGCAGAATTGTCAGTCTTCCCATTTCTCTTCCTGTTGCTTCTCCTCCTTACCCTAAGCCAGGTTCCTGCCACCCCCACAGCTTCCCTCTAGGGGCGGATACATGGAGGAGGAAGGGACAGGAAAGGTGTTTCTTAAATTAGCCCTGGCTTTTTGTTCTCTGGGGATGTTCAAATGTTTAAAGTTGTTGCTTTTTCTTTGGAATGCTTTGGGACACTGTGCAGCTCCCTTGATTTGGGGACCCGGGTGGATATGGAGACTTACAAGTCTTTCTTCAGGCCCTGGGCTCCAGCCTCATCCTCTCTGAAAAGGACCCAAGATGACCCACAGCTGCTCTCTCTGAAATGCCCCCCAAGTCTACACCATGAGGACTCTCACATCCCCCACATCCCTGCAGACCCTTTACTGGGCAGTCCCAATGCCATCCTCCCTGGCACCATCACCAAGGCAGGAGGTCAGCCCTCCCAGTATCCTCCACCTGGGTTGCCTTGGGTCCAGAGACTGACACAGTCCACAACCCACTTTCCCATTCTCAGGCATCTGCCTCCTGTAAACAAGAAACACATTTGGAAGATGCCAATGGCTTTGTGAATCCCCTGCCCTCACCTGCTCTGGCACAGTGACCAGACTTACAGCTGCCCCATTGTAAGGACATTTCTCTAGATATTTATTCCCCATCACTCCTCACTCTGTACAGCTGAATCTTTGAAGCCATCAAACAGGTTCTCCCTGTTTCCCTTTAAATAGCTGCATATGCAGATTTACCTCTCCTTAATTTAGAATGGAAAGCTAGCAATTGGCACAAAGTGAAACCAAGGCAGGAGCCACACTCTACTTTCCTGCTTCCCCTTTTCCTGGGAAGGTTGCTATCCTGCCTTGCATGATGAAAAGTTCTCCAGACACTGAATCCATTGGGAAAGAGTCCAAAAGAAAGATTCTAACCTAAGTCCCCAGCCAGACCCTCCCCATCAATCCACATCCCCATCTGAGCTGCAAGCCTCTCCCATGAAATTGGGGATGATGCTATGGAACTCCCATTTTCAGTGGAGAGCCTGCCTGATGGCCTCCATGGGCAAGCTATAGCCTGCAGATGGGAAAGGAACAGAAGCTAACTTTCAGGAAGAAGGAATTTCTGAGAGATGAAATGCCACAAATGAAGGAGCCTGGCCTGATAGTCCAACCTGATCACCGAGGCCTGAGGTACCAGGGAAAGAAGAGCTGCAGGACCACATGAGACATTGTGTTTAACAGTGCCATCCTCCCTTCAGGATTTTAAAAAGATTCCCAGGTGATTCTAATGTGCAGCCAAGGCTGAGAACCACTGGTCCAGGGACTAACACAGTCCACAACCCACTTTCCCATTCTCAGGCATCTGCCTCCTGTAAACAAGAAACACATTTGGAAGAAGCCAATGGCATTGTGAATCCCCTGCCCTCACCTGCTCTGGCACAGTGACCAGACTTACAGCTGCCCCATTGTAAGGACATTTCTCCAGATATGTATTCCCCATCACCCCTCACTCTGTACAGCTGAATCTTTGTAGCCATCAAACAGGTTCTCCCTGTTTCCTTTTAAATAGCTGCATATGCAGATTTACCTCTCCTTAATTTAGAATAAAAAGCTAGCACTTGGCACAAAGTGGAAACCAAGGCCGGAGCCACACTCTACTTTCCTGCTTCCCCTTTTCCTGAGAAGGTTGCTATCCTGCCTTGCATGATGAAAAGTTCTCCAGACACTGAATCCATTGGGAAAGAGTCCAAAAGAAAGATTCTAACCTAAGTCCCCAGTCAGACCCTCCCCATCAATCCACATCCCCATCTGAGCTGCAAGCCTCTCCCATGAAATTGGGGATGATGCTATGGAACTCCCATTTTCAGTGGAGAGCCTGCCTGATGGCCTCCATGGGCAAGCTATAGCCTGCAGATGGGAAAGGAACAGAAGCTAACTTTCAGGAAGAAGGAATTTCTGAGAGATGAAATGCCACAAATGAAGGAGCCTGGCCTGATAGTCCAACCTGATCATCGAGGCCTGAGGTACCAGGGAAAGAAGAGCTGCAGGACCACATGAGACATTGTGTTTAACAGTCAGCACAACTCAGCCATGGGGTTCCACCTACCTCTCTCTTCACCCCATCATCAGAATACATAAACAATAAGAAAGAAGGGCCATTTTCCTGCAAGTCAATGAGGAAGGTCAGTGTCAGGATCTGAAGATGCGTGGAGGTACAGAGCAGGTGGAAAAATTAGGTAAGAGTTAGATCAGCATTCCCTTGTAGATGGCCAGGGTAGGGGTTGAACCAGCCCGACCTTTAGGCACAGCAGGAGTTACATGCGAGACAGCCATCCCCACTCCAGTGCGCATCAGGAAGATGCATGTGGGAAGGCCATGCTGCTTGACAAGTGAGGGTTATTGTTCCAGCAGATTTAGGGACAAACATTGAAAATGACCTTAATTAGCATTCAGAAAATTGTAGGCCTTGAAGAAGAAATACCTCCTAACCTCAGCATAACCTCTGCAAAGATACCATTCATTTTATGAGAATTATATAGAGAGAGTAATAAGAGTGTGGGGTGGTCAGGCATGGGCACGGGCTCAGCTACTCAAAGGCTGACGATCTCATTCAGTGGGTTTCAAACCACAAGTGACATCCTGAGATTCTCAAAAATGAATGCTTTTCAATGAAGTTCTGATTCCATGGTTTGGGATGAATCCTGGGCAGACAGAGATTATGGAAAGCTATGTAAATGATGCTGATTCACACTCCCGGTTAAGAAACACTAAATTAAGTCTCCAACAGGTTTAGATTTCTTTTCCACCTTCTCCTTCTGCTTCTATCTGATTTGTAACCATTTCATTTTCCTTCAACACATCAGTGAGACAAGGCTGGGGAACAGAAAATGCTAAAAACATCAGGTGATCCTGAGATGCTGGTAAGTGGGGCAGGTAAGGTTTCAATGGTTGGGGACGCTGAAACCAACGATTCTAGGACCTGTGTCTTGTGAGTACATTCGCACAGTCCATTTCCCAAACAGAACCTTCACTCTGCAAGAGCATGAGAGTGGTTGATAAAATAAGAAAACGTTGAATTCAAACCACTGTGATATTTAGAAATGCCAATTGACGAGTAAGGGGTTACTGAGATTGTTTCAAAAAAAAAAAAAGAAGGTATATACTGTTTTTTCTCTGTCACACTTAGACAAGGAGAAATATTCTAGAGTTTTCTGGAACGAACTGGAGCACCAGTCGCAAGATTTGCATTTTGTTTTTGTAAGGGAGCGCTTGCTCAGAAAGCTGGTGGAGCAAGCCATTTGGGAAAAGCAGGCTTGGGTTGGGACCACCGCTAGAATATCTTCCCAGGTGGCCAGGGCATCTCCCAACAAAATCTACTGGCACTTGGATTTTGACAGCTAGAAATCTGTGCCACATCAGAGTGATACAGGCCAGCTCCTTGGTGTCCCCTGGGGCCCTGCCAACTTGCTACTCCTGTGGTTCTGGGCAAAGTCCTTCTGCCTGGGAGTCAACTCACTGGAATTTGATATTTATATGAAGTGGCACCTTGGTTCTATTTACTCAGTCTATTCAAAGCTAGAGGAAAGCAGATCTCTACAGAGACCAAATATTTAGTTCCAGGAAGACATGAGAAATAAACAGGCCAAAAAGACAAATTGGATGCAACACACTCTAGAGTTGACGCGCTATGATTCACTTCCTTAACACCTGGCCAAGTTACTTAGCCAAAAGTCTCAGTTTCCCTCATGAGGATACAAGGACTGCTCACAAATCCCATATATCCTCCCAGATACTTGACAGAGTGGCACTACCGCCTCCCTTCCCCTTGGTTATTAGGCATGGCCGGCTGACATGCTTGGCCAACGGCGTGTGAGCAATGAGAGAGCCATGCTCCTTCTGGATGGCAGCTAACAGCCAGTTTGCAAATCACCCAGCACTTTCCTTGTGCTCCCGAGA